TTCTCCCATGTAAACTATCATATAATTCACAATAAAACATACAAAAAACCCCAAAAACTACTGTTACTGTTGCGATGTCGTGTTGGTTCCTACCCATAACAACCCTGCATACAGTTTCCGAGGAGCTGCTGGTGAGCCTGAACTGCCGATCTTGACTAGGGGCAGGGAAATGGGAGAGTTCCAGAATTCCAACTCACTTAACAAATTATTTTTTCCTGTAGGAACTTACATAATAATAAGCAGTTCCAAGGGCCATAAAATCCAAATGTGAGCGTTTAGTCATTTCTGTCTTTTGCTCACATTGCCCTAAAGAAATGGCCTTTTCTCTGTATCACCAGCACAGCACTTAGCAGAGCCTCCTCCAACCATCTCTTCACCTTCTGCCACCCATTGTTACACTCAACAAAGCACACAGCCACCCAGTAATGCAGTTGCAGGATGCGTGGTTTCCTGATGCATCACTAATTCCCTATCATGTGATCAGCACAACGCAAACACATCCACGCTGGAGGAACAGATGTCAACCTGAGACCTGAAAAGGCTGTGTATACAAAGAAGTTAAATACACAAGCCTTTTATAAAGCCGAAGTTTGCATGTTTTAATGTTCTCTGACTACCTATGTATAAACACATCTTATTCTAAAACTAATGCACATGTCACACATTCATATAAACTGGTCCTTTATGATAATACTCACCTGGAGATGTTCTCCCAGCCAGAGGGAGGAAGGTTTCGAAGCACCTCCCTTTGCCTTAAGCCATCACTTGAGGAATCCCCAGGACATGGTCCCTGATTAGGACCAATGGGCTGATCTGTGGACTCAGCAATCTAAGGAAGTATGACATGAACATCTGAACAAAGGATCTGATGCAACTGTGTGAAATCAATCTAAAAGGATGATTTTGCTGTGAACTGACTTATATCTCCCACCCCAAACCTTTGAACCTGACAAAATTAAATAGGTACAGTGTTAAGTGTAAAAAAAAAAAAAACCACCTCTAAATTTGTTCAACCCAATTTTTAATATATGGATGGTGGTGGTGGTGGTTAGGTGCCATGGAGTTGGTTCTGACTCATAGCCGACCCTGTACAGGGTTTCCGAGGCTGTAAATTATTACAGGAGCAGAAAGCCTCATCTTTCTCCCAAGGAACAGCTGGTAGTTTCGAACTGTTGACCTTGAGGTTCACAGCTTAAAAAAAAAATCTGTATTTTTCCCGACAGTAACTAGGGAGTCACTGTGCATTCTCCTATACATTATATGTTGTTGTTGTTAAGAGCTGTGGAGTCAGTTCTGACTGTTAGTGACCCTGCATAGGGTTTCTGAGGAGTGGCTGGTCAGTTTGAACTGCTGATCTTACAGTCCAAACTGACCTTGTGGTTCAATTCTTATCCTACAGCGTCATACCAACTTATAATGACCAATTCAGCTCAGCCTGCAGCCTAGGAAGAAGGAATGCTATATTCAGAGTCCTGGTGTGGTGCTGTGGGATAAGCACTGGACTGCTAACTGCACGGTCAGTGGTTCAAGCCCATGAGTTGGAATTGACTCGCCAGCACTTAACAATAACAAACCATGTGTGGTGCTGGGGGTTAACGTGCTGGACTGCAAAGTCAGTTTGAACCAAATGGTCGGCAGTTTAAGCTTACCAGCCACAACTCGAAAACCCTATACAGAGTTGCTATGGGTCAGAACTGACTTGAGAGTACGTAACAACAAGCAGAAGCAGCACCAGTATATAAAGGATCGTGTGAAACAACAAATCATGACTTTGACTGTCAAACAGTAGTAACGTTGTGTGTCTTGTTAGTTGAGTGGTCTGGATACACAGTTATTGTGGGTTCAATTACATCCCAGAAGACAAAGCTCTACTTTTCCACTACAACACTAATGGAATAGTCTGATACATACACTTACATGTGCAACACATTTTCCTTATTCCTGATACTCACTGGAGAAGGAAAAAAAAAAAAATTACCTGGAAAAAATACAATAAAATCACTCTGAGAGTTTTAGCCAGCCTCCTTTATTTCTCCCTTGAGATTCTGAATGACAAGATTGTTTGGGGTATGAAGAAGCACACACACCTTTGCACTGGCTTCTGGCGTTTTTGAAGGCGTCCTCACGTTGCACACCAGATGCAAGACATGCCGTTCTTCCTGCTAAAAGTGTAGAGAGGGATGTTAGGACCCGAATCCAACCTGGTTTCACTGCTTAAAACATTCAGAAGTTAACGTGTAAGTGAAGTACCTTTGGAAGTAAGTCCCTGAGACTCAGATGATCCAACAACAGCTTCCCAGAATAAATCAGCCTCTGGTCCTGGGGACGCTTTATCATGGCAAAGAAAAAAGCAATACTGGTCAGCATTTAGCCCTGACAAGTTCTCAAGCACAGAAAGGATGGGTTTAGAAAAGCAATTTGGAAATGTATGCTCCACCCCCACAGGAAAACAGGTTTTCAAAGGCCTTCTACATAAAACCTTTTATTGAAAAAGCGCTTCACTTTAAAATGGACAATGACATAGGAATAAATTTAGGACAGCAAACTAGCTCCAGTTCACAAACCTAAGGCCACCTAATTGACAGCTGAACGCTCAGGGTAACTATTTTCTGCTACTGAAAACACAAATTTTATTTGAGGCTCCAACAGCAACAGACTTAAAAACCAGGTTTGGTCTTCTCAGAGAAAACTTACAAGTTCTCTCAAGGACAGTCTTCCCAAAACGACCTAACATCGCCTCAAAATCACATGAAGTAAGTCTATACTGAAACCCTCCCAGCCTTCCCCCACATACAAATGCAATTACAGAGGAGATGGAGAGTAGGCAACATCTCAAACAACTGTGTGTGAAATGGGGGAAACTTTAGTGGAGGAACTCTGAGAAACTGACTTGTCCAAGATCACTAGTTACCAGAGTCCAGATTCCAACCCCTCTAATCCTACAGCCAGGGACTTTAAAACCATAGGGATTCTATCATACTTTTACATAAATTTCACTTTTAAAATTTATTTTAAGTGGATTTAAAACTTCTTGTAGAGACCTTTAAAAATCATGGCCCTGAATGATATATACCAGACCTCACCAGCTCGTCAGCCTATTCTTACCACAACTGATAATACAAAACTTGTCATAAAGCTGTTTCTGCAAACTAGTCCAAGACTATACAGCAAGTTGTTTAACCTAACAAAACACAATAACAAAAGGCGTATCTGCATCCCTGACGATGTAGAAGTAAGTACACTGGATGCCTCGTTCACCATTGTTCTCACTGGTTGACTTTACTGTTCTCATGGGCTGTACATATGAATTCATAAAATACTATTATATATGCGGGGCCTTGTGCTGTAGTAGTGAAGATTTCTGGAACTGTTTGAAAATCACAGCATCCTGTAGCTACACCTGCCTGTGGGTCTGAGTTGTTTCCCTTTTAAAGGCCTGATTTGATTAAGCATACTACTATTACAAAATAAGGCTTCTCACATTATACTATTTTATGGTGTGGCGCTGTAGGATAAGCACTGAACTGCTAACCACAAGATCAGTGGTCCAAATCTTCCAGCTGTTCCTTGGAAACTATGAGCTGAACCTGACTCGACAGCATTTAACACACTACAAAAAGCACATACAAATGTGTTCTAGACATCTAAGTTGATAAACTTATATTTGTATAGCTCAGAGATGTTTTATTTAGAACTTTGGAGCTCTGGTAACGTAGTGGTTACAAATAGGGCTGCGAACCGCAAGGTCAGCAATTCAAAACTACCAGGTGTTCTGCGAGAGAAAGATGAGGCTTTGTGCTCCAGCAAAGATTTACAGCCTCGGAAACCCTGGAGAGGGTCGCTATGAGACTGAACCGACTCCACATCGCATAACCACCACCACCACCTTATCTGATGAAGCTCCTAGCCCTTTAAGTCCTCAAGGGAAATTCTCCACAACACTGCCTTTTACTGTATGATGCAACTAGGAACTGCACCTGCTTCCCCAATTGGTGTACTTAACATCATTCTCAGTCAAACAGCCACCAGGGTAAACCTAAAATAGTGCCAACGTGGATTCTAAACGACACTGGGATCGAAACTTATTTAAATGAGAACACTTCAAAATAAAATTCACATCTCCACTCTCAACAATATGGAACAAAACCTACCTAGACAAGAGCTGCTTCACAGAACCCTTCTGATAAGAATGAACAATTTCGCAATCTTGTTCTGCCCTGTGCCCTCTCGGGTTCGATCCCGAACTACAAACGTGGACAGCACCCAGCTCTGCAGACACTTACATAATGTCCGAGTCAAAAGTAAATACCGGAAGGTCCAGCGCACAATCTGCATCACGTGGTAGGGAGGGAGCGCGGGCGGCGCCAAGAGTGAAGTTGACAGATGTGTCAACCAAAACAAAGCAAGGAAGTCTTCCTAATCGAGGGGCCGAAGTCTTAAAACCCAGAAGAGCAGAGACGCCTTCCGTCTGTTTCTCCTCCAAGTCACTTTTTACCGTAAAGTACGCTCGGCTCCTCCCTTGGACTAAGCAAAGGCTCCGGAGTCCAGCGCGACAGGGAGGGGCCGAAGGCGGAAAGTGGACCGGGAGGGGAAGAGCCACGTCTCCTGGGTGGGGAACCTGAGGACGCTGGGCACCCGCACCCTGCTCTCCGCACTGAGCCGCTAAGTGCTTACAACTCATTTCACAGCCTTTACGATTTCTTGTTGCTATCCACTGGATGCAATCCTATAGGGACGCCTATTCGCCCGAACGTTTGGGGAAACTGAGGCTTGGAGAGTGAAGTCACTCACCCAAGGTCAAACTGCTGTTCCAGTGGCTTAGCAAGGGTGGAACCCCGATCTGGGGCGACGAGTTAGGGATGAGGAGGTAGGGGCATGGGTGTGACCGCGTCTGGGGACTTGGGGAAGTGGGGAGCAAGGTAACAGAAAACGGCAGCCCGTCAGGAACGGGGGGTGATGGCGGCCAGAGCGGAGCGACAGTCACTGGGCAAGGACAAGGGTGCCTAGGAACTGTCGGGCAGGCAAAGAGGGGTGCCGGCCTCCGGGAGGCGAGTAGACGTGTAACAGCAGGCGGAGAAAGGCTAGCGAAGGAGGAGATCGGAAAGCGGAGACGGACGGGGCTCCCCAGGAGGAGGGCTGGGGGCATGACAGCCCGGAGCGGGAGTCAGGGGCCCCTCTCACCGGGCGCTCGGGGTACACGCGGCTCAGGTGGGCCTTGAGTTGGCCCACGCTCCAGCCGCGGTCGCAGCTCAGCTCCAAGTCGCGGTGGCGCTGATTGGGACTCTTCACCAGAATCGTGACCAGCTCAAGCTCAGGCTGGGGATCAGGTTCCATGTCGGCTGTACTCGGAGAAGCCTGGCACTAGGTAGCCGCCAGCAACCTCCGCAACGACAGTTCAGATCTCCCGAGCGAGCGACCCACACCCCACCCCCCTCGGCGCCTTTTATATGTATCCCGCGTACAGGCCCTGCGGACAGTACCCTCTGTGGCTGCCGTTTATTGGCTGAGGCGGAGGCCACGGCCCTAACGTGGACCAATCGACGTCCGGATTGGGACGGCAGAGGGGCGGGCTGAGTACGTGGGCGTGGGCTGATGCACTTCGCCGCCGTTGCGTCACCCAGAGACGCGTCTGCGGCCCGGGAGTTGAGGTTCGGCGGCCATGTTGGGGTGCGTGGCGTCCAGGCTAGGGCGGTTCGGCCTTGATACTCTAGAGCGTGCTAGCTTTGGTTGTTTGAGGCTCCTTAGGGGCAGCCATCCCACCTGACCCCCAGCGTCACTGTCTTTGCAAATTGTTTCCTCACAAAATAGGACCCCCGCCCTTTTTGACCCAATGTCCCAAGCCCAATGTCCCTTTCCTTCTCGCAGCCCCCAGAGACTGAGGTCTCAAGCCAATAACAGTCTCCTGGCCGCAGCCCTAAAAACACCTGGTGGATCAGTGAGCGCAATCTGGAGATGCACCAGAAGGACAAGGAAGAAATCGAGCTGGCTTAGTGGTTTGGGCCCATGGCCAAGAAGACGAAGACATGCAAACGGCTGTTGTCAATTATCTGTGATCTTTTGGTTTTGATCATTACACCTTCACATGGAGGCCATCATTTCTTAGGACTGAAGCAGACCACAGTCCACATACACTGGGAGACACTCGAAAAGGACATTCACACATGGTTCCTTTCAGTTGGATCTGAGACAAGGACAGCAGGGTCCTCAGTTTCCTAAAATGTAACCAGAAAAAAACCTCTGTAAAAGACTTGAGAAACAAAGCTGACATGGCACTATCCCCCATCATCCTTGTTCCAACCCTACTGGGGCATCTTGTTTTTCCAGGTGTGTCAGGAGCCTGGGGTTAGTAAGGACAAGATTCTGATAGTAATAGAAACAGAAAACAAGGTGGTTTGTTTCTCGACTATCTTTGGAGAGAGATTGTTAGCAAGCTCAGCTTTCTTGGTTGCTTTTTGCCTGCTGTGGAGAGCTCTGTTCCTTTCCACCAGGGCGGGATTACATGGGTGGGGCCTGTGCAAGCTATGAAGAACTCATGCTTGGTTTAGTGTTCTGCTGTAACTGTCTTGAAACTATTAATAAACTTGAACAACAGCCCTGCATTTTCATTTTGTTGTTACTAGTGCCCTGGAGTCAGTTCCAACTCATTGTTGTTAGATGCTGTTGAGTCAGCTCCAATTCATAAACAACCCTGTGCACAACAGAACAAAACAATGCCTGGTCCTGCCCCATCCTCACAATTGTTATGCTTAAGTCCATTGCTGCTGTCACTGTGCCAATCCATCTCATTGGGAGTTTTCCTCTTTTTCGCGAAACATTCACTTTACCAAGCATGATGTCCTTCTCTAGGGACAAGTAGCTTCTGATAATATGTCCGAAGTATGAGAGACAAGTCTTGCCATCCTGGCTTCTCAGGTGCATTCTGGTTGTATTTCTTCCAACACAAATTGGTTTGTTCTTCTGGCAGCGTAGTGGTTACGAATCGGGCTGTGAACCACAAGGTCAAACAGTTTGAAACTACCAGCTGCTCTGCAGGAGAAAGATGAGGTGTTCTGCTCCTGTAAAGAATTACAGCCTTGGAAACCCTGTTTAGGGTCGCTATGGGTTGGAACCGACTCCACGGCACTTAACAACAACTTCAGCACCATAAATAAATACATCAATTCTTTTAAGGTCTTCCTTATTCATTGTCCAACTTTCACTTGTATATGAGGCTATTGAAAATACCATGGCTTAGGTCAGGCGTGCCTTAGTCCTCAAACTGACTTCTTTGCACTAGAACACTTTAGAGAGGTCTAGTGCAGAAGATTTGCCTAGTGTAATATATCATTTGATTTCTTGATTGCTGCTTCTGTGAGTGTTGATAGTGTATCCAAGCAAAATGAAGTCTTTGGCAACTTTAATCTTTTCTCCATGTATATGGATGTTGTTTATAGATCTAATGGTGAGGATTTTTGTTTTCTTTACATTGAGGTGCAATTCATACTGAAAGCTGAGATCTATGATCTTCATCAGTATTTTAAGTTATCTTTGCTTCCTTCAAGCAAGGTTATATCATCTGCATATCGCAGGTTGTTAATGAGTCTTCTCCAATCCTGATGCCATGTTTTTCTTCATATAACCTAGCTTCTTGATTATTTGCTCAGAATGCAAATTGAATAAATGAGAGGTAAAAGGATACAACACTGGCACACACCTTTCCTGATTTTATACCATTCAGTGTCCCCTTGTTCTGTTTGAGCAACTGCTTCTTTATGTACAGGTTCTTCAATGAGCACAATTAAGTGTTCTGGAATACCCATTCTTCACAATGTTATCCATAGCTCGTCATGGTCCACACAGTCAAAAGCCCTTGTCAATAAAGCACAAATAAACATCTTACTGGTATTTTCTGCTTTCAGCCAAGATGCATCTGACATCAGCAATGATGACCCGTACCGAATTGGGGTAGAATTTCTGGCAGCTTCCTGACAATGTATTGTTGTAGTCATTTTTAAATTATCTTCAGAAAAATTTTACTTGCATGTGACATAAATGATATTGTTTGATAATTTTCCACATTCTGTTGGGTTACCTCTCTTTGGAATGGGCAAGAATATGGATCTCTTCCAGTTGGTTGACCAGGTAGCTGTCTTCGAAATTTCTTGTCATAGATCGTGAGCACCTCCAGTGTTGCATCAGTTTGTCAAAAGATTTCAGTTTGCATTATGTCAATTTTTAGAACCTTGTTTTTCTGCCAATGGCTTCAGTGCAACTTGCACTTCTTTCTTCCTTCAGTACCTTCAGTTCTTGATCATATGCTACCTCTTGAAATGGTGCAACACTGACTCTTTCTTTTTGGTACAGTGACTCTTTGTATTCCATCTTCTTTTCATGTACCGTTCAATATTTTTACTATAGAATCCTTCAGTATTTCTAGTTGAGACTTGAATTTTTTCTTCAGTTCTTTCAGCTTGAGAAATGCTAAGTGTGTTGGTGCTTTTTAGTTTTCTAACTCGAGGTCTTTGCACATTTCATTATAATACTCGACTTTGCCTTCTCAAGCTGCCCTTTGAAATTTTCTGTTCAGCTCTTTTCCTTCCTTATTTCTTCTATTTGCTTTAGCATCTCTATGCTGGAAAACAAGTTCTAGAGTCCTTCTGACATCCATTGTGGTCTTTTCTTTCTTTCCTGTCTTTTAAATGACTTGTATAGTGTTTTTGATGTCATCCCACAATTCTCTTGGTGTTTGATTAAGAGTATCCACTGCATCAAATCTGTTTTTGAGATGGCCTTAAATGAGGTGGAATATATTCAGGGTCATATTTTAGCTTTCGTAGACTTGTTTTAATTTTCTTCCGCTTCAGTCTGAACTTGCATATGAGTAATTGGTGGTCGGCCAATGACCTAGTTTTGGCTAATATTATTTTTCCACTATCTCTTCCCATTGATGTAGTCAATTTGATTCCTGCGTATTCCATCTGTTGAGGTCCATGTATATAGTCATCTTTTATGCTGTTTAAAAAAGGTATTTGCTGTGAAGAAGTCATTGGTCTTGCAAAATTCTATCATGCAATCTCCAACATCATTTCTATCACCAACGCCATATTTTCCAACTACTGATCCTTCCTCTTCATTTCCAACCTTAGCATTTCAATCACCATTAATTATCGATATGTCTTGATTGAATGTTTGATCAGTTTCAGATTAAAGAAGTTGGTAGAATTATTTAGTTTCACCATCACTGGCTTTAATGGTTGCTTCATAACTTGTATTAATTGATCTTCCTTGTAAGCATATAGTTATTATCCCATCACAAACTGCGTTGTATTTCAAAATAAGATTTTGAAATGTTCTTTTTGGCAATGAAAGTGACATGATTCCTCTTGAATTTTCCATTCCCCACATAGTAAAATATATGATTGTCAGATTTAAAATGGTCAATGTCAGTCCATTTCAGCTCACTAATGCCTAGGATATTGACTTTTATGTGTTCCATTTCATTTTTGACAACTTCCTGTTTTCCTAGATTCATAGTTGTACAGTCATGTTCCAGTTATTAGTGGATGCTTGCTGCTGTTTCTCTTCATTTTGAGTGGTGTTCCATCAATAAATGAAGATCCCTAAGGCTTTACTCCATTCACATCATCATGCTCAACTCTACTTTGCGGAGGCAGATCTTCCCCAGTTGTACTTTGAGTGACTTCCAATCTGAGGAGCTCATCTCTGGCACTGTTTCTGATAGTTCTGATGTTCTTCATAAGGTTTTCAGTGACCAAAGATTCAGAAGTGGTCTGTGGTTTTCTCTTCCTAGTCTGTTTTAATCTGGAAGCTCAGCTGGAACCTGTCCACCATGGCTGACCATCCTGGTATTTTAAATACCGGTGGCATAGCTTCCAGCACTACAATATGCAAGCCACCACAGTACGACAAACTGACAGACAAGTGGTAGACTGATTCGCAGTGATGCTGTATAGGGTTCAAAGTTGTATATCTTTGCAGAAGCAAAAAGCCTCGTCTTTCTCCTGTGGAGCAGTTGGTGGGCTCAAATCACAAATTATGTGGCCATATACAATACATCTGAGACACTGGGTTATATGAAGAAAAATGTGGCATCAGGATTGGA